GAACTACTAGGCATACCGATAGGGATATTGGGTAAGTACGGATTCGTTAACTCATCTTTCTTCAAATCAATTTCAAAATAAATTTCTATTGCAGTAAACAACGTTGGATGCGCCTATTGTCCGGATGAACTTTGTACTCAATCTGAGGATTTGCTTTGGAATATTATTTACGTAAATGTGGGCGCGATTACCTTAATGTCCCGCATTGTAATACCGCAAATGAAGAAACAGGGAAAAGGGGCTATAGTGAATATGGCGTCATGCGCGGAATTACAGCCATTGCCTTTGTGGGCGGTTTATGGCGCCACGAAACATTATGTAAGATCGTTAAGTTTAGCGATGGAACGCGAATTGTGTGCACACAATATAAGCGTGCAGTGTGTGACACCGGGATTCGTTTCCACCAAAATTATTCAGTGTCCAGAAAACTGTTCAGGTAAAATGTTTGCAACTCCAATGGAGACGTATACACGCTCGGCTGTCTTCACATTGGGTAAAACTCAGGAGACGACGGGCTATTGGACACACGCTATAATGGTAAGATTAAAGCTTGTTTTACACACATCTGTTTGTTAATTAAGATCAATTTTAGTTCTTTGTTGCAAAATTATTCCCGGAATGGTGGCGCATAAGGGTTTTTCATATTATTAGCGATTATACTAGAAAAGCATGCCTAAGAGATCAGCTGAAAGGGAAGGAAAGGTAAAATTTTTATTTCTTGCATTTGACATCAACTACAACTAATAGACAAAATTTTATACGATAGATTAGTTAAATGAAAATGAAATAAATGTAATAACGTTTGAGAAGGCAAGATGAAATGTGATAAGTCTTCTTCTTAATTTCTCGAAATGTACTGTTAGTGCTATCAATGGTAGCAGAATTGGAACAAACATTATAACAAGCAAGAAAAGAGTAAGAAATGTAAGCAGAGCGACGAAGAACACAAATCTTTTACTACAAATTTTTATAGAAAATTAATTATTAAAAACTAAATAGAAAGATGCTTGTCTGACTTGCTGTCCTTATCCAAATGTTATTATCACCGTACCGTATGGATAAGAAAAAAAGCACAGAGTATGGATCATACAACAAAAACAAAAAGCATCAGGGCCGGATAAAATAATTAATTTCTGGATAAAAATGCTGACGAAAATAGTAGAATTAATATATAGTCGGGACATCTGATGGTTTGACAAAGAAGGTGTAACGTATCTCCTTCCTAAAGGTCCGTGCAAGGTGTGCCACCGTAGCTTTTGCCAAATATGAACCAAAGTCAAAATAATAACAATAGCACTAATAGTAACAACAATAATAGAAAAAGCCTTTTGTAAATTTTTTTAAAAAACCTTCTCTTGAAAGAAACTTTTTTGCACAGAAAAGAAGAAGCTTTCAATTGATTGGAAGCTTTCAAAGTTTGGGATTGAAATGAAAAGTTAACGTCGCTAGCAGCGAATGCGTTGAAATTCATTTGCGATAGACGCGTTTAAATGCTTGCTTGTGTACCGATAAATAATTTCTTGATCGTTTCAACTCAATCGTGAAGTAGAATAGATTTTGAGTGCAGTTAAAATAAAATAAAGTAGAATAATATAAAGGTACTATTACCTGATCCTGCAACCGCTCATTCTTCTTCTTATTAATGTTAATATTCTAAACACAATAAAATAAATGACGCGAGCACAAGGATGTTATATGTGATGTGGTGAACGTATACTTATAAATTTTGTTCCAAGGAACTTTCTTCGTTTGTTTTATTCAAAAAGAAAACATATGTTCAAATATAAAATAAAAATAACAAGTCTACATAAATATTTTATGTGTGTGGGTGGCTCTAAGAAATATTTGAATGCTCCTACATTGGAAATTCTTTATGGATCAGTTTAAATAACATCTCTACCAACGAAGATGAGATGGCAATCCGTTGACGCAACCTAATAAAGTCTCCTCTAGGTTACATACAAATTTTTCATACTCTTTAGACCTTTGAACTTCTTCAACACTATTATAAAAATAAACAAGGCAAACCCATTCTAGAAATACATAAGCAAAAGGTCGATTATTCTTTATTAATTCTAAAGGATTTCAAATGTGGGTTCAAGCGCTTAAAAAGAAAAAGAAAAAATAAAAAGAAGGCTTACAGTGTGTGGTGGATGTCAAGGAGTCTTGTAGAAACCCTATATTACACAATGAAGTCTAAATATTTCGATCGCAATGGATGAGAGCAATTTAGAACGACATTTTGTCGATTTGCAAAAGTATGTCGAGTCATCGTGGTCTTTAGCCGGAAATACTTCGAAGCTAGTATTTGAATCCGATTTTGTTAAAGAATATATATATGCTCCATTTACAAAGAAACCGGATGTTAGCTATGAACTTATTGTAGGTTTGACATAGTGTAAAAATATCGCACACGGATATGCGCGATGCATTGCATTGCATGTTGCTGCATATCGAAATCGCTTGAAATTCATAAACGTTGCGTTCCCATCCTGAGCTGATCGTACTTGCTTCCAGGCCTGATTCTAAGCTGACTCTTCTCTGCCTTGACAAAGGATTATGAATAGTTGGTAGAACTATGCCTTTCTGGATGTTGCAAAGAGCAGAAGATATTTCTTAATTTCATTTGATTTGAAAATGAGGAACGCCCTCCTTGCCTTTGTGTCCAGAGCAGAGATGTTGTGTTGTAACCTCATTCTCATGTTTTTCTCGAGATATATATATGTATGTATTTTTTTTTTTTTTATTGCTCAGACAAATATTCAAGGTTTAACGCCTTCAAATGTCGTGTCCGGCATTCCTTACTTACATCGTCAGCTCTCACTTGCTCGTTGTTTTAGATTAGATTGATGGGATATACTGGCGAACATATTAAAAACATAAATTTCTTATTTAAT